TTATTAGCATGGATTTTAAACCACCTTTTTTTATTTTTTTTAATAACAATTTTTTACTACAAAATTACATAGAGGATATTACATGGGCGCGCGGGGATACGGATTTTATCTTCGAGTGTTGAAAAGATCTCTCACACTTTCGTAGTTTATAGTTCTTGATAAGCCCCAGCTTTTACATTATAAACTTATTTTACAGTTTTCTTTAATTTAAACTTTATGCTAATTAGCAAAATTTTGTAAACAAAGATCCGCCTATATCTCAAGGGACAGTGTAGGTTACCAAACACCAACAAAAGCTGTGGCATTGCTAATGTTTTAACTTACTGTTACTTTTCCAAAAAGCGTAAGTTTCCTCATTTTCCGTACACGTAATACTGACTTGAATTTATAATTTATTGTGTGAAAAGTAAATCCCTAGAATTCTGATACTCTGAGTCCGAAAGTCAATTTTCTTTTTAATTTGGTCAGGCAATAAATTTACATCCATTTGAGGTCCTATCCACCCTACCTCAGATTTATTTAGATTTAATTCAAGTGACGAATATATTTTAACATTCTTTAAGACTTCTAAGCATTCATTAAGGGATTCAATATTTTTCAGTGTAAATGTTGCATCGTCCGCAAAAAGTACAAGTTTTGTTTCATTTYAGTTCCAAATCAACACCCAGACTAATACCAGTTAGTATAACATACTAATGGTCTATCACTCATACTGCGCTGTGATTGGCTACTCTACTAATRGTCTAATTTGTGATAGACCACTCGCGGGAAAATCAAATGATGGCGGCATCGCATTAATAAATTATTTTAAGGATATTTCAATTTGTTTTCATTAATTGACCGATTAGTATGCGATTAGTATGTTTATACTAAAACAATTAGACCTCTCGGCCTCGTGGACTACGAGCTAATAGCCCATTCGGTCTCGCGGACTCGGCCTCATGGGCTATTAGCTCGTAGTCCACTCGACCTCGAGGTCTAATTGTTAAATATGCGTAGCCGGCGGACAATATTATGGAAACATTCAACACTGTCATACGAAAGAACTATGAGAAATATGTTATGCATTTGTAGAAAGTTTTGAAGCAATGGACTAAATACTGTACTAARGAAGTTATTGAGGGATAAAAATGCACAGATATTTGTATAGAATTCCTCGCTGAGGCCTTGGTAGCCTCGTTTTGGTGTTCTTTTTGCCTCTTTTAACCCTTACAAGTTCAAAAGGACTATTTCTGTAAATCTTTATCTTTATCTTTTCTATTCATCATCTCAGTGTTTTCTTTTATCAACATTGTGAATTTAGCAATGATATGCTAATAAGTTATGATGTTATGCTTTACTCTTWGAGTCAGCAAAAATATTGCCAAATGGTATGGTTTTTAGCATTACATTTAAACCTTTAGTAATTACATTTAACCCCATCCCGACGGATATTTATTTTTTCTATTAAAGGCCGGGGTTTGCAAAAGAGGTGGACTTTGCTAGGAAAACATATTTTGCCCTAGAAATTTAGATGGATATCAGTGTCACCAAACGCAAATTTTGGCATTAATTCTTCTAAGCAGAGTACTGTTTTGTGCCTTTTCTTACCTCGTTGGGAATTTATTTGAACTGCTAGATTGACACTTTTTTACTAGTAAGTTCGTATGAGCAATTTCAGGCCTATAGTTTACTATTTCGAATCGTTCGAATTAGAATGATATTCTATACATATTCGTCACCAGAGGGTTAATACAATATTTTACTCAAATGGAAACTTCACAAACAATACTTTGTAACGCACTTGATGATGTACACGTAACGCGAACGACTAAAACAAGCGCAATAACAAGTTCAGATATAGTTATGTTAGTGTACTGTTTATGCATTAAAATGAGCTACTGCGCACTTTCATTTCTGATTTCTTTAAACTTAGATMACTGGAATGAAAATGCCACCAAACAATTCCTTTAGCCGACACCTTGTTTCCAAGGTACTTTCCATTCAGATTAGAATCATAACAATTACTATACCACCAGGCACCGGTATGATGTGTAGCACAGTTAACACTATGCTTGTCGTTATCTCTATCTTTTGTACTAAACGCCATGTTGTTATGCCAAGATATCAGCGAGTCCCCAGCAGTACCTGAATACGAGCCAACCCTCAATCTGTAATTGTCTGATTCATCACCAACACTAAAACTACCATATTTGGCATACTTCCTAGTTCCGTCCCAGTCCTCTACCTCAACGCGCAGACTCGATGCTGTTCTTGCTGTCAGTCGATGGATGTAATCGTTACCCAACCAAAACTCACCATTCAGTTTTCCAAAACCAGTTTTGTACTGTTGCCAATTGCGATAGAAATCGACCGATCCATCTTGTCTTCTTTGGAACACAGTCCAACCCCCACCGTCAGTTGTCATGTCACAGTAGACTTGAAATGAAGGCTGATTGTCTGGTTGAATTGTGTAGACATCGTTACGTCTCTCTCCTGATTTGTAAAGCTCAGCACAATCTTCTGTATAATGTACAATCAATGTCGTACGTACATGTGAATGAGAAACACCAGCACTCGTAGCAGTGCACACAAACACACCCGAATCTGTTTTCTTGACGTTCCTTATAATCAAAGAGCCATCTCTGACTTCATATCTACCAACAGGAAGAACGCCGTTGTCTTTTCTCCAACTGATGACAGGCTGAGGGTCACCTTTAGCGGTACAGTTTAACAAAATATTACTTCCTGGAGCCAATCTGTGTGACGACGGAGGTTTGACAACAAACACAGGAAGATCGACAACAATAACAATAATAGATCCTACAACAGAGCCAAGAAGATTATCAGCTTTGCAAACATATATCCCTGAATCATCTTTCTTCGCTCTAAGTATTGTTAATTGTTCATCATTGACAAGATAACGACTATTAGACAAAGAACCAACAGCTTTTGACCACGTGACTTTTGGCTCAGGAATTCCAGTCACGTGACAGTGGGCAGACGAATGTCATCACCAATCTTTCTGTAGATTGGTTCTTTGTTCAAGGTCAGTCTTGGGCGGAAGTTCACTTGGAGTTTCGCTGTTGTTTGTGTGCTGCCAAGAAGATTAGAGGCCTTACACTGATAGATTCCTGAGTCATTGGTAGTCACGTGTTTGATATCAAGTTTGCCAGTGCTATCAGCTACTGCTCGCTTGTGTGGTAATGTACCGTTGTTTTTACTCCACACAACATCAGGTCGAGGATAACCACTAGAGGAACAATGTAAGATGGCGGACTGGCTTTCATTGACGATGAGATGTGTTGGTGAAATGAGTACTGCTGGACGTGCTAAGGAAGGACCACGATCTCCCTTTGGTCCCTTTGGTCCAGGCATTCCTCTGGGACCAGGAAGTCCGATCTTTCCAGGAAAACCACGCGGYCCTTGTTTTCCTCGACGTCCAGTTTTACCCATGCGTCCTCTCGGTCCTCTTGGACCAGGTTTTCCTTGTGGACCGGGAGGTCCTGGAATAGGAATCCAGTATTTGGCAGATTGTAAATTGGCAACTGCTTTTCCCACAACTTGATGGATTTTCTTTGATAATACATCATCATTAATGGTGCTGTTGACTACAGTTGTAACATCTCTTACTTTTCTTGTTAAAACTTCTTTTGTTTGCTTTGCTTCTTGTTTCGCAAATGTTCTCTCTGAATGATGATCTTTGTCGAATCGATGGCCATCGTTCATGTCGTGTTTTGAAGTCATCTTGTCTGTCAGCTTGATGTCTCTTGAATGCAGCTCGTTTAGCATCAATTCTGTTCGTATGAACACACCACAGCACAACAACAAACCGAAGACCGATAGAGTGATGGCAATCTTGGACACCAAGCAGGAGTGAACGTTTTTATCTGCCATATTTTAGTAATAAAACACCAACGAAGCAAACAGGAAGACTGACGCAGTGAAAATGACCCGAAATCTTATACTTTACTATTAACTAGACGCTCTTGGAGCGTGAAGTCGGGCTAGCTATTTTGGAAAATTGAGAAATTACTTGGATTTGCGAATACGTGAAGAGCGAAAGAGTTCAACGCGATAAGATAAAATTCGTATCTAAAAAAACATGTAATATTCTGTCAGTCATATAATTATATATGAAAGTAATTTATGGCGTAGTATACCTTATCTAGTTTGTTTATTCACGCACCGCGATATTCTTTTCTGGTGGCTTGTCGCAACGACATCAAAACACTAGAAATATCGATCCAGGAGTGATATTCTGTCTTTCTCAATTTTCAAAAATNCGACATGATACATAGATTGACAAAAAGGTAAAACTAAAGTCGGCCTAGCCTATGGCTAGCCCGACTAAAAATTACGTGGGTTTCCTGTGGAAGACCACGTCTAAAAATGCAAGTGGACTTTTCTCCGTCGTGAATATTTGGCTTCAAATTGGTAGTGCCTGCGTTGCATATGGTCTGCATTCTCAGAATGAAAACAAAATGGCTGACAGACGGCAAAAAGTTGTCTCGTTTTGAATGGTATGTAGCTAAAATGCTCTTAAGAGCTGAAAATCTTACAAAATCAACTGATTAACATCCAAACGACATAAGTCTCCTTCGCAGCCTCCCCTTTTGTCGGGCTTCCTGTTGAGGCTGCGAAGGACACAAAACGACATGGAATAAGGTATATAATTCAAGGTTGTAGATGATTCGTGCAGAAATGACTGGGTATTTTCAACCGCCGACACGAAGAGCACTACATGGATTGTATAACTTCGCCACGACAAGTGTTCGATGTCAATCACAAAATCTTCCAAAATAAGAAATCACATGGATATTTCAGGTTCATACTTTGACAGAAGAATAATTTATCGATGGACTAAAACATATCAAATCTCATCTGAAAAATATTGATGCCATTTTCTAAACTGACGGTGTGTTTGAAGTTGAAAACTGCACGTGTACTTACTGAACTCTGTACAAAATCTATATTATGTATGAAGCATTTTAATTCTTTATTAAAATTTGTTTTGATGATTGTTTAACTTGAAAAACTTAGACAAATCCAAAAATATGAACTGTCATTAGAAGCTACACCTCTTTGATGATGGCACAGAACACCGGATGTAAAATGATAAATTATAAATTAAAAACACCAAAAAAGAACAGAAACACAAGATTTAAATGATTCAAACGATCAAGATATTATTCAAAGTTATACGATACTGACAAAACTGCAAAGACT